GCGCAAGTAGAGTGATCTTTCCTCCTGTAGGGCAACGGTAGGGTGCCTGATCCAGCCCTGTCTGGGTCGACGGCCTGTAGGAGTGGCGCGCGCGGGATATCTGTCTCGATGGCCTCTCTGATGCGCTGGTCGCACTTACACGTGTAGTCCGTGGCGTGACTGTCAAAGTCAGGCGGTCGGAACTGCGCCGGCAGGTGTTGGAAGAACTGGGCCGACGCGGGATCCGAATGCAAACCTGGATCATGAAGGGCCTCGCAGGGCCCAGGCGCCTCCGGCAAGTAGTTCGAAGCAGGGGAGACAACCAGGGCCGCCACAACCGCATGATCGGGCTGCGTCACCGCGATGTCGACATGCTTGCCAACGCCTTGCTGAGGGGCCTGCAGGGCTGCATGGCGCCACCGTCCCATGTCTGCAATCACCTCACAACGTTCGTGGCCCCACAGGGAGCTCCACCTAAAGCCCTAATGGCAGGGCCCGCGTGGCGCCGCCGCCCCATGTCGGCACGCCCCTCACGCGGTTCGCGGCCCCATAGGGAGCACCGCCGAAGGCCCCGGTGGCCGGGTCCGCACGGCGCCGTCGTAAATTTCCGCGCGCCCCACACGCGGCTCGCGGTCCCACAGGGGGCTACGCCGAAGGCCCCAGTAACAGGGCCCGCACGGCGCATCCCCTTTATTTCGGCACACCCCTCACGCGGTTCCCGGCCCGCGGCGCGGCCCGCATGGCGCCGCTGCCCCATTTCGACACGCCCCTCATCGCACGGTTCGCGGCCCCATAGGAGGCCCCGCAGAAGGCCCTGGCGGCGGGGCCCCCATGGCGCCGCCGCCGCATGGCGCCGCCGCCCCATGTCGGCACACCCCACCCCTCGCGCGGGCTCGCGGCCGCATAGGGAGCCCCACCGAAAGCACTGGTGGGAGGGCCCGCATGGCGCTGCAAATCCATTCCGGCAAACCCCTCACACGGTTCGTGGCCCCATAGGGAGCTCCACCAAAGGCCCCAGTGACAGGGTCAGCATGGCGCCGCCGCCCCGTCTCGGCACGCCACTCCCACGGTTCGCAGATCCACGGGGAGCCACACCGAAGGCCCCCGAGGCAGGGCCCGCGCGTCCCCGCCACCCCCATCGGCGCACCCCTCACACGTTTCGCGGCCCCATAGGGAGCTCCACCGAAGGCCCCAGCGCCGCCGCCCACGCGCGCCCCCCCCCGCCCACTTCGGCACACTTCTCAAGCGCCTCGTGGTCCCATAGGGAGCTCCGCGGAAGATGATGCTACAACTGCACTGCTCACGACTGCACATGGTTGAGTCCTTCGCCAGGCTAATTGGTTTGCAAGCGCGCTGCCACCGCGCCCGCCAAAAATTCGGGGCCGGCGGCAAACTATCCCGAGAAGTGCATCATACGTCCCGTGATATGGAAGCCAGCCTGTCGGAGCGCCCCGAGGCTCCCGCTGCGGGCCCTGGGGCCCATGGCAAAAACTTCGGCAATGGCCGCCCGGCCCAAGGCAGCCCGCGAGTCGGGCTGTCGAACCTGCATGGGCCCAGGCAGGATGTGCCGGAGGCCAATTGTGGTTCCCTTAGGCGGAGGGATGAGTTGGATTGCTTCCGGAGGTAGGGACCTCCGCACGCGAGGTGGCGCGCCCGGTCCACGACCGCGGCGCGCTGCAAAATGTTGCAGCTGCTCGACTGGCGCCCCCCCGACTGGCTCGAATATGTTCGGCAGTACTCGCGCGGCGTAGTCTGGCAAGCGCGTTTACACATTCGTTCCAGGAATGTGCAACGTGACCATGTACATGTTGAAGCGTCACCTCACGCGCGCAAAACGCGCGTACGCTGCGCAAGGCTGTCCAGGGGCAGTTCAGTAGAACGCACCGCCCCACGCACGCGCACACACACACACACACACACACACACACGCACACACACACACACACACACACACACGCACACACACACACACACAAGCGCACCCCTTGACGCGCGCGCGACGCAACCACGTTGTCAGCGAAAAAACAAACAGGGCAGACGCGCAAGCGCGGGCGGCCCACATGGCCGCCTCCTGCTCGGCTCTAGGGAGGGCAAGGGGTTCGCTAGAGCCCCGCCCTTCTAATGAGCCTGCCATGCATCCGAGCAGAGAAATACACGATCCCGAAACAGCCAACACGCAGAAAGCCCAGGCTGGCGAGCACGTCTCGTTGCGACGCTTGCGCCCTCCAGCCGTGGCGCCCGTAGAAACAGGCAAGCGATCGCAGGCGGCCTCAGAGCAAGAGGGGATGGTGGAGGAACGCCAGTAAGGAGCCAACGACAGAAGGTCCTGGAAGGTCGCACAGGCCAGGGGCGCTCCAGAAGCTCCTGAGCGGGCCCCGGCTCCGGCAAAGGCGAATGCTCGATGCCTCTGGGGGCCAAGTTGGAGGCCCCCTGAGGCTGGTCAGCGTAACTCATCGATTGATCATGCACCCCACGTTCGCACATGGGTCGGCCCCCTGCGGCGCTTGCTGGAGTCGGGCGCAGAACTTAAAAAACTGAAGGGCGAGGAGAGGTGCATGGACCTGAGGCGACGCAGGCAAGGCAAACCACCTTCCACTGGCGAGGTCTCGTCGGCGCTGTCTGGCCTGGGGCGGAGCGAAAAAGCGGCTGGGCATCAGATGGCGACCTAGCCGTTGACGCTGCCGATGTTGTTGATGCCGTCGTTAGACTGGCTGGAACTTCGGCAGCTCCCTGGAAGTATTCTCTATCGGTATCTCCAGCGGCAAGGTCGACTGCCTCCTCATCTGGTCCTCGTGCTGCGAACGCACTGCCATGTCCATGCTAAAATTGGTCTGCGTGGGCGGTGCCCGCCCTGCCAGGCGCTTCGGTGAGACTGAACGCGCTGGTCGAGGCGTCGCTGCAGCACCCTGCGCAAAGGCCGCTTCAAAGCGGCGACGACCTGCTGTTTGAACTTCAGATGGCGATGGCTTGTCCGGCTTCTCCTTGAGCTCGAGGACCTGCCGCTGCAACTGGTAATTGAACTCCTGTCGAGACTGATTCGCTTCAGAGATCTGTTCCTGGATGTGACCATGGTGCTCTTGAAGTCCAGGATATGCGTGATAAGCTGAGACTGCGCATGCTGCATGGACGCGAGCAACCCCCGCGTGGTGAGTTCGGTTCCCGTACCCGCTGATTCCGTAGGTGTCGTCGGCGTAGCTCCAGGCGGTACATGGGCAGGCTGCGTTGGCTCTGGCTTCAGCGAGCTGGCGGGACCCTCGGGCTTGCCATGTGAAAATTGGCCAGGCTCTCTGAGGCCTGAAAGCACCATCTGCTGCGAGCTTTGCATCATCATCAAACTCCCTCTCATCGTCCTCATCCATGTAATCCGAGGTTCTGGGGGGCCGTCCGCGCGCGCGCTGGGTACGCATGTCTGCAGACGTGCGCTCCTCCATCTCTGTCTCCTCGAACTCCTGGAAATCACCAAACGAGGCTTCTGCATGTGCGGGCTCCTCTTGTAGGATCTCCGCTTGGCTACGGCATGTCTCGAGATGCTGCTCGACTTCTTTCTGCTGGTTCTGAGATTCGGCAAGGCGTCGCCTGGCACGGCTGACGCAGCGGATCTGCTTGGCGGTACGAGCCGATGCCGACCTCGAGAACATGTGTTGATACAAAACCACGCTGTAGTATCGCCGCAGCGCTTCAACTTGAGTTGTGCCGAACTTGAGTGCCTGCAAGCACTTGAGTTGGCGTTCGAGACCTTCCAGCGCCGGTCCTAACGATTTGCGAAAATATCCGAAATCCTGTGGATCTTCTGGCGGGTATCGCCACCTACTATGCGCCAAGGCGTGCTCAGGAATGCAGGGCGAGATGTTCATGATCTCCTTATCATCGTCGGTGACTGGAAGTGCTCAGCCCTTACCGTTCTGATTCTGCCATGGCGGGAGTCTTAGTTTGTCGCTCGTTTGACGTTCGAATGAGAGAGCGGGCGGCACTTCATACACGGCTTGGCCCCCCACTTATTGACCTGAGTGCATGCTGGACATACCCAAAAACATTTGACCGGGCCATGGCGTCTGTTCTGCCGTTGTCGACCTTTGCTGCGGGGTCGTGATGGCTGCCTGCTGCTCTCACGCTGTCCTCGCTGGTTCCACGACATGGCATTGTGGTGACCTGCAAGGAGCTTTGTGGCGGCAACTACCTGCAGCAGGGCTCTGGCCTTGCTGCAGTCCGCGCTGGCACGCCTGTGCCAGGCGGGCTCTGGGGCGCTGTCACGGGTAGCCTTCCTGCCACGCGCCGTGGCTGGACGGGGCGCGCGGGGGGGGGGGGGGCGGCTGGCGCGTGTGAGGCCTGGACAGCGGGACGCTGGCACCTGCGCCCGACTTCCCCTCGGGCCGGCGATGGCGTTGGGATGCGGGAGGGGGAAGATGAAAGAGACGACGCATCCGCTGTCTGTCGGAGTGCAATCATCGACTTCAGATCCACTGGCGGCCTGCACAGGAAGATGCAGGCAGCGGCGGGACCAGAGACTCGACTGAAGGAGTCCTCGTCCGACCAGATTTGGAGCATTACGACAGCTTGTGAGATCATGACGGCGCCACAATCACTCCAACGAGCAAATGCATCTGACAACGTCCACGACGACGACGACGTTGACGACGACCACAACCACCAACAACCACAAACATGACGACGGTGACGACGACGACGACGACCACGACGATAACGAAGACCACTACCCTGACGACCACGACCACCACGACGACACGGACCAAGACGACGACGATCCCGATAACGGCGTCCACGGCAACCAAGATCAGGACGACCACGACGACCACCACCACGACCACCACCACCACGACGACGAAAACGACGACGAAAATGACGACGACCACGACGATCACGGCGATCGACGACGACGAAGACGACCTTGATCACGATGACGATGACGACGACGACGACGACGACGACGACGACGACGACGACGACAAGGAAGAGGACGAATCTCTGCCCCGCTGCCGCCGACTCGGCCGCCCACCGCCGTCCTCCCTCACGAAGATCAGGCGCTCGCCAAGCTTCGAGTCGTTGAGGGTGGCGATTGCCTCGGCCGTGGCGCTCCCGCCAGCCCCGCAAGGAGGGATCCGTCGGTCGAGCAGCCGTCCGAACCGTCGATCGATCGATCGAGGGGGGAGGATCGATCGGTCGATCGAGCAGTCGGGCCACGGTCGGGCTTCGCGTCGGCCACCGCGATATTAGCAGCCAGCAGGTTTGGCACGCTCGCATTGCTCTGCGCCCATCTGGCCCCGTTAGCCTGCCCCGGCCCTTCAACCGCACGGGAGCCTGAGGCCAGGGTAGCACCCACTCCTCACGGATGCGCTCCAGCCTGCTTCCCCGTCCCCTTGCCCTGAGCTGGCCCCCCGCCTCCCCAAAAGGAGGGAGAGAGGAGGGGAAGAGTGATCGAGGCCTTTGGACGTTTTGCCCCTTTCCAGGTTCCCCTCCCCCAGGGGCCTGCAGAGCCCTCCAGTGACCTCCCTCCTCCACCCTCCCTCCCATTACCACCCCCTTTTTGCAACGCTCGGCACCAAGCGTGCGACTCGAGTGTGCAATATGCACGCGGCCACCGTCTTATGGTAGCCTTGGCTGGCGCGTCAGCCGGTTACTCAGACTGCCCTTCCTCCCCCTCCGCCCGCCTTCTTCCTCTACCCCTTCCCTCCTGCTCGTCCTTCCCCCCCCCTCCCCCCATCTCCTCCTCCTCCCCCATCCTTCCTCTCCCTCCCACATCCCCCCTCCCCCCCGCCTCGTCCCCTCGTCTCCTCCTCCCCCCTCGTCTCCTCTGCTCATCCTTGCTCCCCCTCCTCACCCTCCCCCTCCTCCTCTTGCCCTCTCCTCGAGATGCCCTGCCGCCCCGCCCCCCCCGCCGCCCCCCTCCTTTTCCCCCCGCCCCTCCCCCCACTCCCCACCATCCTCCCATCCGCTCACCTCCCCCCTCATTCCTCTGCCCCCCTGCCCCTCGCCGTCTTCGCGGCCGAAGCCGTCGCTGGTCGCCTCCGCCGTCGCCGCCCGCCGCTGTCGCCGCCGACGACGCCTGCGCCCTCCGCGCGGACGCTGAGAGCCCAAGCGTTCTGCGCGCCCTCCTGGTTCTTGAACTCCACGATCCCGGCACCCTCTCTCCGCACAGGCGCGGCGGAAGGCCGCGGCCGCGCAGCGGAGGCGGCCGCAGCGACGGGGGCGGACCCAACAGAGACGTCGGCGACGACCCTGACAACGACCTCAACGACGGAGACGACAGCAGAAACGATAAACTGGACGACAACATGACGACGACCTTGACGACGATGAACTCGCCGACTGCATCGTCGACGGCCACCACGCAGACCGCGACGACGACGTCGACGACGACGAGCCCTCGGGGCTCTTGAACTCTACGATCCCAGCTCCCTCCCCGCGCGCGCGACGATGTGGCCGCGCAAGGCGAGGAAGGAGGGAGTGATAATGGAGGGGAAAAAGTGCGAGGTCTCTTCCTCCTCCTCGTCCTCCTCATCCTCACCCTCATCAGCATCATCATCATCATCATCAGCAGCATCATCACCACCTCCACCATCATCACCACAGCTACATCATCGTCACCATCACCATCACCATCACCATTTCCACCACCACCATCACCATCACCGTCACCAGCATCGCCCGCATCATCATCACCGTCACTACAATCAGCATCATCATCATCATCATCAGCAGCAGCATCATCAGCATCAGCAGCAGCAGCAGTATCATAATCATCATCATCATCATCATCATCATCATCATCATCATCATCATCATCATCATAATCATCATCATAATCATAATCAGCAGCAGCATCATCAGCATCATCGGCATCACCAGTAACAGATACAACACCATCATCAGCATCATTACCATCAGCATCATTGCCAGCATCATCATCATCACCGTCACCATCATAATCAGAATCCCCATCATCGTCGTCAACGTCATTATCATCATCAGCATCAACAACAGAAATCATCATCATCGGCATCATCACCAACATCATCAACAGCACCGCCATCATCATCACCGTCACCATCACCATCGCAATCACAATAACCGGCCCCATCATTAACAGTCACCAACAACCATCACCAGTCATCAAGATCATCATCATCATCACCATCATCGTCATCATCCTCATCATCGGCATCATCGTCATAAACATTATCATCCTCATCATCAGCATCAGCATCATCACCATCAACACCATCATCGTCATCAGCATCATCGTCATCGTCATCGTCACCGTCACCACCTGTATCCTCCGACTCTTTCGTCTCCACAATCTCACAATACAGGCACTGCTCTCCTGGCCACCATGATACTGTCCCGTTGTTCTCCCGCCTCTCCCGCACACTGCTTTCACGCGCAGGGTTCCTCAAGGTGATGTTTAGCAGATTGGTGCGTCGATCGGAGCGTTCTCGGTCCCTGAAGAAAGGTGCTCCCGCTGAAGCATTGGCCACAGTTAAGGATTGGCGGTTCGCTCCCGTCGTGTAGAGAATTGTCGGAGGGGGGCGAAGACAAAGACGACGAGGAGGGACCGTGCACTGACGAGGGAGAGCAGGGCTGCGCATGGCCCCAAGGGGGCCTCTCCCCGTCCGACTCATACCCCCTGGGCGTCGCGGAGAACGAAGAGGAGAACGACGAGGACATCGAGAACAAGTACGAGGACAAGGGCGAGGAGGAGGAGGAGGAGATCAAGAATGACAGGCATCAAGACCACATACATCTTTTCCAGGAGCCTCCACAAGTGGCGCGTAAGAGATGCTGTGTGAAACAGGCGCGGGGTAGGCGGAAACGCGGGCAGTGGGAGACACAAACCAGGACACGCGTACACTGCCTGTCAGAGAACACAAATCTCACCGGGAACCAGAGGGGAAGGAGGAGAGGCAAAAAGAGAGGAGAGAGAACCAGCAGGAACGGGCCTCAGATCGCGGATGGGCCAGTACAACCAAATCGGCGGCAGGTTCGGGCTGCTGCAGAGAGCACGACGACGCCAATGAAGCATCACGCCCGCCAGTCTCAAGACCAACGTTTCAGGAGGCCTCAGGCGAGGACGAAAAAGACGATGGCGAGGAGGAGGTGTTAAGGTTTGCCCTCGGCCATCAAGGATCGACAAGTGAGGCTTGTAGCATCTGTCAAATAATTCTGCGCTCCAGGAGTGGAACCGTCAAGAACTCCAAATCGTGAAACCCGCTCGATGCAAGACGACACTGACGCCGACGCCGACGCCGACGATGACGAGAGGTCCTTCGATCGGCCATCCCACTCCTCCAAGATGTCCGCGAAGGCCACCTCGCCAGCCGACCGCATGTGGTCCTCGAGGCGCCGGGACGTGGCCCGCCGCCCTCGACGCCATCGCCGCCACGGCCGTCGGCCGTCGCCGCCGGCGTGGCTCTCCGCGCCCCGCCGTTGGGGTGGACCTCAAGAACAAGACTTCTGGCGTTCGTTCTGCAAAACAGAAACAATGCCCTCTTATGCCAAAATGTTGCTCTCAGGGATGCAGGCATGGCGAACAGTGACAAAGTGGCGCGACAGAGTGCAGGACGACCGAACTTGGGCAACTGGAGCTGGAAAAAGATGGAGCCCAGAAGCTCCTCCGCCCTGTGCCTGGTGACCCACGCCAGTCTTGGTCTGCTCAGGGCTGGGCACCCCTCCTCGTACTTTAAGGGCCCGCGGACGCCATGATTGTTACGTTGGACCAGACAACAAACGAGACCACCCCACATACGGCCCCTAGGGGCTCAGCGTGTACCAGGAAATCTGGCGTGGGCTTTTGCGTGGTGTGCGCTACACGGCCCCCGATGAGCCGTAGCGCAGCATGGAGGACCGTAGGCAAGGCGGTATCGTTTGTATTTTGGTCGATGAGGGAGCCCGCGGACGGCATGAGCGTTACGCCCCTCGGCTCTCGGGGAGGGACCTGCTGCACCGCACGGGCACAGCCTGCGCTGGTGCCGCTTCCGGCTGGCACCCTCCGCCTGCCCGGCTGTGGCGGAGGCAAGGCGGCGACGGGGCCCGCCTCCTCGGCCGCCACCTCCTGCCGCCACCCCCCCCAGGCCCTGCTGGAGCCGTCGAACGCACGCTCCGCGCGCGGGCGCGCGCTCGGGCTCCACCTGTCCTGGAGCATCCAGCCTCCGTCCCCCATCCTGCCAGGAAGCTGGGACACACACACACACATGGCTGGATCCGCGTGCGGAGCATCTGGAAGCCACGCACTGGGGACAAACGTGCGGAAGTCCAGGCGCACCCCGCAACCCGTGGGGCGACCGCTGGAAGGGTATCCAGCTCTCGCCCACGCTGCCCGCGTCATCTGCATCCGTCTTCCTGGCAACATCCCCCTCCTCGAGGAAGAGGGACGAGGCAATGCACACGCCGATCTCGCCGCGTTGCCACCTGGCCGGCCCGGGTCCGCCCCGCGACGCCCTCACCTACGCCTCGGGGAACATGAAGACCGCCTCCTTGTTGGTAAGCTTCTTGTAGACCGCGGAGAAGGTCGCGAGCTTCGTGTCTACCTCCGCCTTGTCCTTGTCCTTCGGGTCCAGGAAGATCCGCCACCGCACCGCGCAGCGTGGCTGGTGTGTAAGTGTGTGTGTGTGTGGTGTGTGTGTGTGAGTGTGTGTGAGTGTGTGTGTGTGTGTGTGTGCGTGTGCGTGTGCGTGTGCATGTGCGTGTGCGTGTGCGTGTGCGTGTGGGTGTGCGCGTGCGTGTGCGCGTGCGCGTGCGCGTGCGCGTGCGCGTGCGCGTGCGCGTGCGCGTGCGTGTGCGTGTGCGTGTGCGTGTGCGTGTGCGTGTGCGTGTGTGTGTGCGTGTGCGTGTGCGTGTGTGTGTGCGTGTGTGTGTGTGTGGTGTGTGTGGTGTGTGTGTGTGTGCGTGTGTGTGTGTGTGTGTGCGTGTGTGCGTTTGTGCGTGTGTGCGTGTTTGTATGTTTGTGTGTTTATATGTTCGTGTGTTTGTGTGTTAGTGCGTGTGCGGGTGCGTGTGCGTGTGCGTGTGCGTGTGTGTGTGTGTCGTGTGTGTGGTGTTTGGTGTGTGTGTGTGTGTGCGTGTGTGCGTGTGTGCGTGTGTGCGTGTGTGCGTGTGTGCGTGTGTGCATGTGTGTCTTTTGTGTGCGTGTGTGCGTGTGTGTGTGTTTGTGTGTGTGTGTTGTGTGTATGTGTGCTTGTATGTTTGTGTGTTTGTATGTTTTTGTGTGTTTGTGTAGTCGTGTGTTTGTGGGTTAGTGCATTTGTGTGCAATTGTGTGTGATTGTGTGTGTTTGCGTGTGCTTGTGTGTTTGTGTGTGTGCGTGCGTGCGTACATGCATGTGTGTGCGAATGTGAGTGCGAGTTTGAATGTGAGTGTGAGTGTGAGTGTGTGTGTGTGTGCGTGTATGTGTCGGGCTGATGCTGCTGCTCCCGAACTTGCTAGCCTTCGCTCGCGGAGCACCAACGAGGGACCCCCCCCCAACGCGGCGAGCCAAACATGCGTCCGACTGTTGTCCCGAGCCCCTGCGTGCCTGGCCCCCCGTGTAGCAGGCTCTGCATGGCACCCTGCCCCCAGCCCCACTGCAGGCCGGGTCTCGCGTAACGGTGGTCAGCGCTAACGGGGGTTACGGCGAGGGCATTGGATAAGGAAACCTTCGATAAGGAATCCAGGGTCTGGAAGCCAGTGGAAAGCCAATCGTGGATTCGCCATGGATATCACCGCCGCCTCATCAGATCAGGAACCCTCCAGGGTCCGAAGCCTCCTGGGCACGTTCCTTACCGAACGCCCCCACCCTAGCCAGTCCCCTCTGGGTGGCCCAGGCTTGACAGAGCCTCGGCCGACCCGGGGTTGTGGCGGCCGGGGTCGGTGCGCTGCCGACCAGACCTCCCCCCAGCCCCAGCCCCCTCCCAAGCAGCGCGGAGGACCGGATACGCGCGGCGGCGCGGCCGGATCTTCATCAGCTTCGTGCCGTCCGCGGTGATGCGCGTGCGCCTGCCGACGATCTCGGTGGGGCCCACGACGTCCTCCAGGATGGAGTCGTGCACCGCGGTGAGCGTCCGGCTCCTCGGCCTCACCTTGAGGCCCCTGCGGCGGAAGTTCAGGTCCAGGATGGTGCGGTTGGCCACGAAGACGACCTGTGGCGTGTCCGACCACTGGCCATCGCTCGGACGTCCATTCCCTGTGTTTTTTTCGGCTTCGTGCGTGATTTTCTCGCCAACTGATCAAGGATGCTCCTCGATGGTCCTCGCCGAAAGAAAAATGCACACGTCCGAGCGATGCCGAGGACCATGGGCCTCTCGCTTCCCACTGGCCATTGTTGGACTTCGGCGGTCTCCGGCGGTCCCTGGCGGTCTCTCGACGCAACCCGCGGTTCTCAGCAACATTCGGTGGTCTTCTGCGCGGATGGCTGCGGTTCACACGGCGCCCATGGCCGGACACCCCAGGCCTGCTTCTTCTGGAACTTCTTCTCCAGCTCACGGATGAGGCGGCCCTGGATTTTGCGCACCGACTGCCAGACCCTGTACGGGAAGTACACAATCACAGCCCTCCTGCCATTCTTCACCTCCACCTCCTTAGCGGCGGAGATCACGACGTCGCGGAGATCCGCCTTGATGTCGCTCGAGGGGGACACTTCGATGTCTAGGATCGCCTTGGCAACCTTTGCCAACAGGGCAAGGGGCACTGAGGGAACGGGTCCCGGATTCGGGGGGTCCCCAGGACCGGCGTTCCATCCCGAGCAGCTCTTGACGGCCCCACTGCTCAAAGTGCCCCAGGCGGCCGAGAACGGGAAGGAACTCAACACCCCTTTCCCTCGGGGCCCCATTTCTTCATGATGAAACCTCCTCCTCCAGCTCCGTCGGCGCCACACTCTTGTCCTTCACGATCTTCTTGCGTGCGTTAATCATGGCTGCTGTTGTTCCAACTCCTGCTGCCGGCCTCTACTGGCCCTGAGCCAACACTTCTCGAGCCAAAAACGGCTACTGCGGGGGGATAAGACGGATGATAATAATGATGATGAGGGGGCAAGAGGGAGAGAAGAAGGAAGAGGAGGACGAGGTCGTTACCCACTTCTCTCAGCAGTGTGTGTGGGTGTGTGTCGTGTGGGTGTGCGTGTGTGTCTGCCTGTCTGTCTGTCTGTCTGTCTGTCTGTCTGTCTGTCTGTCTGTCTGTCTGTCTGTCTGTCTGTCTGTCTGTCTGTCTGTCTGTCTCTCTGTCTGTCTGTCTGTCTGTCTGTCTGTCTGTCTGTCTGTCTGTCTGTCTCTGTCTGTCTCTCTGTCTGTCTGTCCGTCTGTCGGTCTGTCTGTCTGTCTGTCTGTCTCTGTCTGTCTGTCTCTGGCTGCCTCTGTCTGTCTGTCTGTCTGTCTGCCTGTCTGTCTGACTGTCCGTCTGTCTGTCTTTGTCTGTCTGTCTTTGTCTGTCGTTGTATGTGTATGTCTTTGTTTGTGTCTGCTTCTTTGTTTGTGTGTGCTTGTGTGATTCTGTGTTTGAGTGTGAGCGTGTGTGTGAATGAGCGTGTGTGTGAGTGTGTGTGAGTGTGAGTGCGAGTGTAAGTGCGAATGTGAGTATGAGAGTAAGTGTGAGTGTGAGTCTGAGAGTGTGAGTGTGAGTGGAGTGTGAGCGTGTGTGTGTGTGTGTGTGTGCGTGTGCGTGTGTGCGTGTGCGTGTGCGTGTGTGTGTGTGCGTGTGCGGGTGTACGCGTGTGTGTGTGTGGTGGGGGGGATGCCGGGCGTCTGCCACTTCATAGGCTTCGCGTACTGGTTCAAGTTCTAAGTATCTCTTCATGGTCCTCCGGCCCTGGCCACCCGCTGCTTGTCACGCAGCCGCGATGTCGCGCTCTGATACACCTTCGGCACGCCCGCGAAGGGCTTCACGTTCTGAATGGCTCCCGCTTCTTTACCACTTTCCCTGCCTCGTTCTCCACTTTCCTGTGCCCCAATTCGTTCCCGGCTTGTTGCGCACGTAGCCCGACCTGCGCCTGCACAGGCCCCGAACCGCTTGCGCCTGCTGGCTTGAACAGAAATGTGGGGGGGAGGGCGCTATGGCACAGTACACCCCTGGTCTGACGCTGGACTACCCGCCACCTCAGCAGGGCATTGTGAGCATCGTTTAACCGAACCCTATCCCCGTGGGCGTGGCCTTGGCCCCACTGGCCGATGTGACCTCTTAAGATGGGGATATAGGCCGCTTCCTTTGGGGTTTCGAGGTTTCGAAGGGTAGATCCCCAACTGGGGTGGTGAGATGGTAGAGGTCTGGACGGGGATGGGGATGGGAATGGGGCTAAGGGTCGCTTAAACGATGCTGAACTATGGCACTGTACCCCCCTGGTCCAGCGCTGGGCTGCCGGCCACCTCGGCAGGACAGTGGTCCACGGGAGCGCTCCTCGAGCACCCGAGGGGGAGACGAGCAGGGGCAGGAGTGCGGGCGAGACTTCTGCTCATATCCACTGCAGCTTGGAGTTTCGGGTTCCCTTCCCCAGAAATCCGAGGCGCACTAGCTGTGGATAAGAGTCTGGCCCCTAGAGGCTCGATTATTGTGCACATCCAGTGCGCCGCGGCCTTGCGGCGCCCCGTCCAAGAGACGCACTGGTTCCCCGCAAGGAGGAGGAGGAGAAGGAGGAGGAGAAGAAGGAGGAGGAGGAGGAGCAGAAGGAGGAGGAGGAGGAGACGCCCGTGAGAGCGAAGCTCCCGCTGCCACGCGCGCTGAGTCATTTCTGGCACGCGGGTACCGCAGCCTCCTCAGACGAAGGCAGAATCGAGACAACATCGGACCAATATGAATCAGAAATCTCTGAGAATCGGCGGGCTTGGAAGATGTATCGGGCGCCGCGACCGTTTCAGAGCGTTCGGGAACGTTCTGGAACGGACTTGTCTCGATCTACAACGAAGCCAAGACGAGGACAAAATCGGGTGAGCATAAACCGTGAATCTCTGCGATCTGGCTGCTCTGGAGGACGTCTCGGGCGCCGCGACCTTCTAAGAGCGTTCTGGAACGCTCTGGGAGCGTTCCGGAACGCTCAGGAACGGATTTATCATCGTCCCAGCCCCACCCGAGGAGGGGCCTCTGGGAGGGTGAGGTTCGGACGGTTCCAGACAGCTGTTGCTGGCTCGTCCAGGATGTTTCTCGCCTCGGAATCTCTCCGGCGGCCGCGCCTCAACGAGAGCGTGGTGTGGCGAACGTGTCCTCGTCCCAGCTCCGTCCGACGATTCTGGGCCCGCCCGGCTACCGCAGCCTCCTCTGCGGCCGAGGCTCCCAGACAGCGGTTCTGTTTTTTCCTCCTCCTCCTCCTCCTCCTCCTCCTCCTCGTCCTCCTCCTCCTCCTCCTCCTCCTCCTCCTCCTCCTCTTCTTCCTCCTCGCGAGGCGCGGGGCGCGGGGCGCGGAGGTGCTGCGCGCCCTCGCGCCCTCCCCCTGGAGGGGGGCGGCTCCCGGCCCGTGTCGCGAAGCGAGGTCACCTCCGAGGTCCTACAATCGGGGGACCTGGAAGATCCCCGACCGAGAGGCAGAGAGAGGACACAGAGATCGGACCACACTTGTCGACAAGCTCGACAGCGGAAGCTGGTGCGGCGTTGCACCCAAACCTCGCGAGCGCGGTGAGCGCCGAGAATCCCAGTCACCCTGCTTGATCATGTCAAAACTGAGCCGATCCCCTTAGAAATCTCTCAAGATTCTGAGGGTGAGGTGAAAGAGGGCCATTGACGAAAGGTGGGCAGAGATACAGTACTGGAAGGGGTGAACCGAAGGCATGCGAAGACACTGCCACGAAGATAGCTTGCGCAGTGTAGCGCAACAGCGCTCGCCGTCAAGACATCGGTAGCGTCACTATCACTGAAAAACTCGCAGAGGCCGCAATTTTGCAGATCCCTGCCCGACGACTGGTAGTACATTGCATGCTGACGCCGTTCCTGAAGCCACTTGATTCGAACGGCAACAATGTTGTATGCAAACTACATCCGATGGTCAAGATCACCCGTGTCGAAAAAGATGCGGTGGCATGTGAGAGTTCGAGGTCGGGATGCTACCCGTCACCATGAGCATCACCACGTGCGACTCAATGCGCGGAGCAAAACTTAAACACTACTAGAGTCGATGCGGCGTTCGCCCAAGTATGCGCCCGCTTTCACAAGGGCCATGCGATACCGAGCAGTCTGAGTTCCCCTCCTGCCAACGTCATCTCACTCACTCGAGGTGCTCTGGATGGACAGCGGATGCGCGTGTCACACATCATGTATGTCTTGCGGTGGTTGTATTCTCTCCTGCATGCATCATGCGATTCCCACTTGATGCAGTAATGTGCATGTGACTAAAGTGTCCAGTCCTTCAGGTCTTGCCAGGAGACCTTCCAGTCGATGTTGCCGACCTCAGGCGAAGAACAAGGGCTCTGAGGACGATGCACACTCACAGCCGCGGTCATACACGCTTCCATTGGGGTCTAACTCGCACGTGCCCGACTGTTTGGCCGACCGAAAGCTTTAGCACAACCACACATATTACTCGACTGATGCAAACGGGCAGGTCGGTCAGGGCAGGAGGAACATGATCTTCCTTCGCCTCCACTTAAGGAGCACGCATCGAGGACCCATGTATGGAGAGGGTTTGGACGTTATGTCAGCCGAGATAGCACATTGGCCCTTGGGAATATCGGCCTGTATCTTGCTCGAAGCTGTCACCTTTGGACAGGCGCACCGACTGGCCCACATCCACCTGGTGTGGCCGAAAGGAGCGCGCGCCTGAACTTACCGAACGCAGCCAGGGGGCATAGTTCATGTGACAAACGGTGGGGGGCATTTTCGCCGTTGCCAAATGTTCGGTTTCGGCCGACCCAGTAGGAACACACAAACGGCAGCCCAACACTGAAGAAACATAACAAACGACGGCAGCCCGCCGAGCTGGACAAAGACAAAACACACACACACACAAACAAATGAGAACAACAACCAAACCGAAAAACATAATCTTGAAAACGGGAAACAACGCCCCCAGCCTTCCTTATATCATCTAGGAGCCAGGGGGCCCGCATTACGAAACGACGACTGAGGAGAGAGGTGCCGCTACAGAAATCGTCAGCACCTCTGGTAGTCATCAGGCCCAGGGTACCGTCAGCGATTGCCCCCCGGCCTTGGACTTCGTTGATGTTCCAAACGCCGGGGGGACGTTGTTGTTCGTTCTCAAAGTTCCTTCATTCGGCCAACCACAGCGGCAAAGCAACGGCAACCCAAATCATACAAGAAGAGCAGCGGGCACACACCGTCAAGCGAGACGAGAATCCCCAAACCGGAAAACAAATCCCAAAATAGAAAGATCAGCATTCAAAAAAATATCAGCTTTTCAACATCATCTAAACCCCTGGAGTATGACGGCACAGTTCCAGCCTGCCCCAGTGGCTCGTCGCCGTCTGAGAAACAGGAGGGAAGAACGAACGAGCTCGGAGGAACAGGCAAGAAGCGGGAAGGCGGTGGGACAAGCTGAATGCGTCCAGAGGAGCGGGAGCGGGAGTTGGTGGCGGAGGTGTCACACTGCAACCAACCATACGATCAAAAAAGTGATCAGTTAGAAGACCTGTGCCAGATTCCTTGAGGTTTCTTGAGACAAACCTGGGCCAGGTTCTGCCGTTCACGCTGGAGAGGCGAACGTGCTCAAGAAACTGTGCCAACTTTCTGGCAAGCTGGTTGAGAACCGCTGGCCCAGCTTCTCGGGAGGAGGCTTCTTAATTAGATGCTCGACCATAGTAGTCATTTTACGCGGGGGCACAAATCTACCCTGATCTTTCCAACACGTCGGATGCCCAAGATTGCCCAACCCCTGCCATCGCCCGACCCAGCGCGCACGATTTTCAAGCGGGGCATGCCCGACACAGGCCCGCGCAGAGAAGCTCTTGCAACATGAACGACGTGCTGGACGTCATAGCTTTTACCTTCAGCACATAAATGCCAACCACATAAGCGACGACAACAGCAATCATCAGTTCAAGACTGATCGCTTATATC